AGCTTTTGCTTTCCCGGCAGCTACTTCCTGAAGTCCAGCCCATCTACAGAAAACATGCACTTCCCATCACCTTTTCCAAATCAGAGCGAGAAGTCCTGTGGCACTGCAGCTACTGGTGGCCTTGCTACATCTCTAATGTCTGTTCAAGAGGATATAAATTCAAACAGGTAAACCTGCATTTTCTGCATAGAAATTACTCAGGTTTCCTGTGGATGGTCATGTATTCCTTATCAACATAAATAAATTTAATAAGATAGTCTATGAAGAGGAGAAATTGTTTTGAGAGAGGGTGTCCTTGCTGCCTCTCCCTTATCTCTGAGTGGGCCACATCATGCTTTTTCAGCATGCTGTTTACCATTTCATCCCTAATATGAAAGATCATTTAGGCATCTGTAATTCTGCAAATTTTATGAACTCTTTGAGGATATTTGTGTTCGTTGTCAATACAAGGGGGAATACAACTTGCACTGTAGCATGAATGAGTGTGGTGGCTGATAAGGTAGAATTTGAAGTTTCAGGTCAATCATTTGCGGTTTATTTCTGTTTGTGTACATGTTTGTGCAGTCAGACTAAAACAAAAAGCTAAGATTCTTTTTTTTTTTTTCTCCTCTGCCCCCTAGCAAATCTAAGCAGCATGACAATGTTTGTGCCAGAAGTATCCAGATCCCCTCAGGAAGAAGACAAAATACCTCTGGGTCAGAATGTACAAGTCACCCTGTAGCAAGGAGTATCAGTACTTTTGGTCCGTTGGAAGAAGATGAGAAAGAAAACCAGAAGATCAGCCATATCATTCCTACTGGTAGCCTGCCTGCTACTTTGCAAGGACCAACAGTGTGTAGTTTTTCTACCTTAAATGTCGTCTTTTTGTTTTTTTTTAAGTGTGCAATAGATTAGAGAAATTTGAAAGAGCATTAATTAGAAGAACAGAATTAAGCATCCCAAATTGCAAGAAATACTAGCTTTTATTATTTAAACTAACATTAGCTGTGGATTTAGATGTTGATGTGTCTCATACGGAACAGTTCATAAGATTTCGTAAAGATAGTTACATTGCAACTAATGGCAATTTTTCCTTTTTGCCATAGGATTCCTTGGGCCTAGAATGGCGTTTACCTAGTCCTGATCCTATAACGGTTCCATATCTCAGTCCTCTAGTGGTATGGAAAGAGCTTGAGAGCTTACTTGAAAACGAAGGGGATCATGCAATAACAGTGGCGGACTTTGTAGATCATCATCCTATTGTGTTCTGGAATTTGGTGTGGTATTTCAGACGCTTGGACCTGCCTAGCAACTTACCAGGATTAATACTTTCTTCTGAGCACTGTAATAAAAACTCCAAGGTATGGAATTGGATAGGAAATACTGACATGTGAGGAATGCTTGTTTTCCCATATAGGAAGTTGGTTTTATTGCAATTTGATGACTATGTGAGGAGGAGGAGGAAGTTACGATTTTAGGACTGTAGGAAGATGTACAAAATACATTTGCTACATCACTGACATACTGTTCAGATTTGGCTTTCTCTGGTTTTACAGCAGTTTAATATTAAAGTTGTTTACCATGAAGCCTATAGACTTGAAGATATATTTTAAATACAGAAGTCCTTTGTCATGACTTTGTAATAAAATATCTTTATGCATTCTCCTGTTCAGATTCCACGAAAGTGTATGTCAGAGGACAGTAAATATGTTCTTATTCAGATGCTATGGGACAATATGAAATTGCATCAGGATCCAAGGCAGCCACTGTATATTTTGTGGAATGCTCAGAGTAAGCTTTGTTTCTTGTGTTTTTTGGTGTTATTTTAAAGAACAATTTTCATGTTGAACAACTGAAGGATGTGTTTGAAAAAAAGATTTCTTTGTGTATAGTTCTTGCAAGATACATGACTGATTTTTGATTATACTACTTTTTGTCTTGCAGGTCAAAATCGCACTCTTTTGTTTGAGAGTGAGTGTTAAGTTCAGTGTTGCTATTCTAAGTTTGTGTGATTTGTTTTTTTGTTTTTTGGAGGGAGGGTGGTTGTATATTTAGCAGTAAACTGCTTGAACAAGTTTATTTTTCCAGCGTATCTGTTTCAAATCATTGACAAGTGTCTTCAGTGGCTTTTTCTTTATTGGGAGGGGAGGAATAAGAGGGAATATCTTTCAGTCATCCACTGAGCTTACATTGACAGTTCATCCACTTAGCTTGTTTTTTTTATTTTTACAATTTGCGTCCTAAGAATTTTGTTGCCAGTGTTGGATCGTATGCCTGAAAATAGCTCATGACAGTTTTTGAGTTTTCTCTTACATGCTTTTTGTGTTTCCTTAGTTGATATTATTTTGACTTGATGTTTATTGTTCTTTGCTCTCTGCATACATGTCAACATTTTCTGTTTGTGTAGCCTCCCACCTTTTTTTAATAACTTTCTACTTGTCACACAAAAAATATATCTTTATTCTTACAGCATTTCTGATGTTTTTCAGCCCAGAAGTACCCGATGGTCCATTTATTGCAAAAAGATGATGACTCTTTTAACCAGGAGCTCTTGAGAAGTATGGTGAAAAGCATTAAGATGAATGATGTGTATGGACCAATGAGTCAAATGTTGGAGAGATTGAACAAATGGCCACATATTAAAAGACAGAGGTAAGAACACAAACACGCCTAACTGGAGTAAGCTCGGACAACAATAGGGGTATTGTAATGCGAGTTATATTTTTGTAGTGTGTTTATTAAAGAAAAAAGTACTTTCTTCAGCAGTGTTCTGAAGTTTATTACTTAGTCTGGTAAATATTTTTATTTTTTGTGATAACTTTCACAAATTTATTTTAGAAAAAAATTGGAGAAACTAATTTTCACTCAAAAAAAATCCCTCTCCCCTTTACAGCCACCTCTTTTTCTTCTTACCTGTGAATTATGGGAAATCAAGTGTGTGTGGTGTATGTTACATTATTAAATGTTATGTTTTAAAAATGTTTTTAAAATCAAAAAACCTCCACTTGTTCCTAACATGCATGAGTGGATTTCTTCAAGTTTCCAGTAGGGAAAAGAAGGGGAGCTAAGAAGAGAAGTTAAGTTTCATATGTAGGAAGGTATTTCCCATTAGTAGTGGAATTAGTGAAAATTATTTCCTATGAATTTGTATTTCTTTCCTAGATTTACTGATTTTTATTTATAAAAAGATATACAGCAGACTTTTCAACAGCTAGAGCATTGACGAGGTGATTATTTGCTTGTCTGCCTGCTTTTTCAAGTTAATGTAGAAATGCAGAAAATGAAGTTCCTTACCTGTTTGTCAAGCTTGGTGGAATTTAGCTGAGTGCCTCAAGTGCAGGCAGAGGGAAGCATGCCCTTGGGGCATCCACTGGTGTGCTGGAAGCTGCATCAAGGACCTACCACAAGTGATCTCTGTGGGCAGTCCAAGACATTTTCCAGAGGTCAGAAATTATAGTGTTTTGGAGGTAGCCATCAGGAATTATGTTCAGAATGCCACTGTTAAAAAAGAAGCTATCTTTAAATGCTTCAATCTGGTTTTAATGTGAATTGTTTTGTGGTATATTATTGCAGTACATAAATTGACACTTCTTTTAACCATTTCAGGAGCCTTTACAGAGAAATACTATTTCTTTCACTTGTTGCCCTAGGAAGAGATAACATTGATATAGGTAAGTTTTATAAATTAGTCAAATAAGCATAGACGATGAATGTATGCAAACTAGTTTTTCAGCTTCCAAAAAAATCTGTAGATTAGATGTGTGCCATTCTATTGTAAGTGCTGAACAAAAAGGACTTTACAGTTATTTTCTGTTGATGTACTAGCTGTTGTTATATTTGCATTGTGGTTTTGAGCACGGTCTGTAGAGGTTGTTTTTCTGTTTCTGCAGATGCTTTCGACAGAGAGTACAAAATGGCCTATGATCGTCTCACAGCTAATCAAGTGAAGAATACTCATAATTGTGATAGACCACCAAGTACTGGAGTGATGGAATGCAGAAAGATTTTTGGAGAACCATATCTTTAAATATACCTAGATAAGAGGTGATATCTGTGATGTATACCTGTGTAAAATAACCACTTCAGTCACAAGGAACATCTCAGTCTTCAGTGTTCGAGAACGTATGTAGAAACATACCGTGGCAGAAGGCCTTGGAAAAATTAGGCCTGTCTACAGTTGTGGAAATGGACAGAATGAAAAATGGGCTGAATATTATTTCCCTCTCCCTTATCCTTTCTGCAAATCAGTGTGTAGAAAGGAAGATTCTAAACAAAATCAGTTCTTTAACTTGGGACAACATATTACAGTTCCCTTCTTAAAAAAAACAAAGTAACAGGTGGACAGAAACAATGCACTGAAACTAATGTGAGAGAAGTAAGTTCTTCAAAATCTATTGTTTACATATAATATTTGTGATGTTATGAAGAGCATACAAAATTGTATTATACATATTTTAAATTGTTTATAGTAAGTTGATATTTTTTTAATTTTTTTAAATTACTGGAGTGAATTTTAAATGGACTTGCTGCATAAGCAATACAGTGCTTTTTTTTTTTTTGCAGTACACTTCTATTTATAGTAACTTGTCCAGTTACTTTTTGAAGAGTGATTTGTTTTTAAAGCAGAATAGAAAACGTTAACCTTCACCTAGACAGTACTCTAGATACAGGATTTCTTTCATGCACACATGAAAAACGTGTTAACACAGCAATCAGAAGGAAGGTATGGTAAACTTCTGTAAAACTCTACTAATGAACACACTGATGTCTCTGTAAAACACTTCAGTAGAAATCTCCTCTTCCTCTCCTGTTCCCTTCACTCCCCACTCCCTAGTAAAGAGCAGGCATGTAAAGAGTCCTGCGGATGATGTTACGGAATCAGTCCATCTCGGCTGTTGGCATTTGTTAGCGTGACCTCTTTACAGATGTAATACAAAGCAAATTATAGCCTGCAAGAAGTTCTTCATAAACATGCAGCGTTCAGAGTCTTGGTGGATGTGTTTGAAACGCACTAAATATGACATATACATAATGCTAATCCAAAGCTTTTAACTAAAGTACATGCAGCAAACTTGCTCCAGGGAATATATAGGGAATGTAACTTACAGGGGCATATTGTGCATAGTTAAATATACTTAGAATGTTTGGTCTCTATTCATAGGCAAACCAATTTTTTTTTCTGTGAAGAAAAACGCTATGTCAGTCCTTGTGGTGGAGTCATGTCTTTTGACTCATGTTTTCTTGTTCTAGAGATATTAAAAAATGTTCTGTGCTCTCAGTCACATAGCAACTCCTCACCAGAAGGTAGGCTACAGAGAAAAGATCAGAAGTCTTGTATGGAGATGGGAAAACAGATATTGGTGCCCTAAACAAATTAAACCATGCTTTAACAATAGCTTTATTTATCTTAATGGGTTTCCATTTCTAATTTCTTTTAGCTGTTGCTGTTATAATACTCTAAATATTCAGCTGTTACGTTAGATTTTATACTCAGTCTGCCTACCAGCAGGTATTTCTTAAAATCTCTTTAGTTTGCAAGTGTAATCATACAGCAATATTTAGTTAGGCAGAAAGGAGATAAACTTTAAAGCTCACGTTTACTTTATTAAATGAAATGGAGTGAGCCTCTTGGAGGCTTAAATGAGAAGCAATGCTGCTATGAAGCTCTATGTAACCTCCTCCCAGACCTCTGTAAAGTAGTAAGAAGATGCTGCCCTAAGGAGAAAGGATTTAAAATTTGTAGAGCTGCAGGTATATGCTGATACTAATCACAAGATGTGGTCTTGTTGGATACAGCTTTCATTGGGTAATACATCTTCTCTAATTTGCTGCTAATTATGTAGCTGACCTTCTTGAAAGTATCCCCCCACCCTGAGGTGGAGCTAGCAATGCTACACTTACCAACATTTTTCACATTTAATTTATTTTAACAAGTTATGATGCTCTCTTTTGTACTACCACACTTGTAAAGTATTCCTCATGCATGAAATAGAGCCACTTTTTTCACCCAGGTACACGGTAAACAGTGTATCGGTGTAGGGTGGCCACGTACCCCCTTCATTCTTCTGACCTATTGTGAAAACACCAGGTTATTTTTTAAGATATTCATTGTAAGTACCTATTAGCATGCATGTATGCACTGCGCTGCACAGTAGCTACACTGTATTTACCAGGTAAAAGTTGCATACAGTAGTTGCTGTGTATATAAACTCCCCTGCTCGTGCTGTGCGTGAGGTAGCGTTCCCAGCTCTTCGCAGTTCTGTTTCCAGTGCCATTTACCACTTGGGGCAGCCACTGTTTTATCGGACCTTCAAGCCATGAAGGAGAGCAAGTGCTTTTTCCAGAGCTGCCATGGTGTGTTAGAGGTACCGAGCTATGAAGCACGCTTCACGCTTCCTATTATAGTCTGGCAGAAGCGACTGAGCCTGGTCTCTAACCACCTCTCACTTTCTAGGACATAACCCTGCACCTGTGTGTGCTGGCACAGGAAGAGATGCAACACTTGTCATCCACAGCCCACTGTCTCCAGTCTAGTCCCAGCTTAGTTGTAAGTACTTTCAACTGTCTTTAGACTCGTAAAGCCAACAAGTTTGCCACTTCATTCAAATATCACCAGTCCTGCCAGTATCATCAGAAGAGTATATACTGTACCACGAGAAGGATTGTATGTCCATCCTTCAGACAAACAATCGTTCTGTGTTCTCGCATCCTCAGAGTGGCACTCCTGAAGCATTGCTGATGTTTGGCTGGCTGTGCTTTTAAATTACTGTATCATGTAGTGGTTCATCGAGTGGAATCATTATACTTAATGAATTGTTTTATAAAGTCTCTTGCAAGTCAGTCCACTGTAGAAATGCTATAATAAAATATAGTTGGAATAGTGTTCTACTTTTAAGTGGGGAAATTTTCCTCATTCAAGTCATAATGGTCAAAATGTAGGTCCTGAGGTGGATAATTTTTAAGCATCATACAATTCAGTGTTGAAGCAGTTTTCAGATCTCACTGTCCTTTATTAGAAAAGCAATTTGAGTATATTTTCCAATACTGCAAAGATGGATAAATAAAATATTTGAAACATATTTTCAATTTAAAATTTTGTATGAACTGAATTTTCTCCTTTTGTGTACTAAATAATGCTTATGTCAAAAACCTTAAACAAAGGTTTTACATTTGCAGTGCAATATATATTTTACTTTACTTATGGTTCCACTGGAATAATTATCAGAGATTAAATACTGAAATGTGAATAGAAATTGTGCTGTTTCTCTGACACTGCTGTTTCCCATTTTGAGAAGGATTGCTGTTGGTACAGTTACAGCCTGATGAATTAGACTTCCACTGGCAAATTAAATTATTTGTACCCCAAGAAAGATAAAATTCCTGCATGTAAAATCTCTGTATAACAAATGGGAGATGCAACTAGGAATAACAGAGAGGGGGATTTCTGGATATTCTCTCACTGGGATTTAAAAATGGTACTTTGTTAGTCTGCAAGCAGCACTTTTTAAATGAATGGTTGTAGATTTGTAAATATGTAATGTTTAAATTTTATTTACCAAAAGACAGTATGTTGGATGTTTGCTTTGGTTTGTAGTTCCTCTAAAATATGCAAAGTCAGTGTTCACAATGTTAAGTTTTTTTTCTGTCTCATCCAAAAAAGACGTTTTACAGTGAGTCAATAAAAAGCTTAAAATCTTTCTGGTTATTTTCATTAACATTTTATTAGATGGATTAGAATCACAGAAATGTTTGCAACTCTTAACTACATTGTTTGCTCACATGAGGCGTTGTTAACAATAAACCTTTCAGGTTTGTTGATGATGTTAGTGGCATGTTTCTCATAGGTAATGTAGAAGACAGTGCTAACAAAAAGAATTAGTGCTGGATACAATAATCTGTAAGTTTCAGAGATTAGTGTCAGGATGAAAACAAAACTCAAGTAGTTCAACTTCTTGTTGATTTTAGTTTTTGTTAGTGGTAACCTGGTGTTCTAACCCCAGATCCGTTTAGTCTCATTGCAGTAAGATGTAAATCCGTATGACCTCAGACTTGTACTGGTGGCACTTAGCGTAAATTCTAGGGATTGAATTGCAAGATCAGAGATGGATTGAGAAGGAGCCATATGGATAGCTTTCAGGATTGCTCTGCAGCTCTCCAATCCTGTGTTCTTCTGCATGCAGACATAACTTAGTGGTTTGCTTTTTCCTCGAAAACCTTAGTATTACCTTTCCCCCAGCCTTTAAAAGAGCCAGCAAAAAGCCTTTCCTGGGAAGTGCACCACCTGTTCTGTGTGCACGTTCCTGGAGGTCTGTGTAGAGCCCCAGCTCTGGATGCTTTCTGTGGCCTTCACTGAAAGGATGAGAACTACCTCTGCATGGGGGAGTCATGGCAAACTAGCTGCAGCACACACCTCAGGAACTGCCCTGCTCGTTGCTTGTATGCAGTGTGAGGGAGTTCACCTCGGAGATGCGGAATGTGTCCATGCAAGGATTTTTTAAGCAGAGTAGTTCTGCGAAGGCAAGCCACGGAGCTCTGATTCTGTTCTCACTGAGGTAAAGTTCATTGATTTCGGTGAGTTTGAGCAGTTGACTAAGTAATTTAGAGTGTGTGCTGATAATATTTCTATAATGAGTAAATATTCTGTGCTGAAAATCAGCTCCGTTAACTTGAGAGGATCAGCCATACAGAAAACTTCATGCACCTATATCATATCGGCCTTTCCACCACTGCCTAAACATGTTTGTCACTTTGATATTGGTCACTTCATTATCTGATCTTTTCTGATCCTAAAGAGCAGTAGTAGAGGCTGACATACCACTTGAGATTTATTTTTTATTTTTAGTATGTTAAAGATCTTTTATTCTCAGTAAGTTTGTTGTGATTCTGGGTGCTTTTTTCAGTAGAAAATCGCTACCTTAAACCCATTTTGATGCATGCTTACATACACCTCAAAGTGTCCAAATGTCATACAGATACTGGGCAGGATATTATCTTGTCTTCTAACAGCACACTGATAATCAGAAACAC